TTTAGCGTGTTTACTTGTAGAGAGGGCTGGTCAGTTAGCGCGTTAAACTGTAGAGGGGTTTGATCATGTTTATCTGTAGAGGAAATGATCATGCCTACCTGTAGAGGGACTGGTCACTGAGCGTGTTTACCTGTAGAGGGACTGATCACTAAACGTGTCTACCTGTAGAGGGACTGATCACTGAGCGTGTTTACCTGTAGAGAGGTCTGATCATGTTTATCTGTAGATGAAATGATCATGCCTACCTGTAAAGGGACTGATCACTAAACGTGTTTATCTGTAGAGGAAATGATCATGTCGTGACCTGTAGAGGGACTGACCACTGAGGGTGTTTACCTGTAGAGGGACTGATCACTGAGCGTGCTTACCTGTAGAGGGACTAATCACTGAGCGTGTTTACCTGTAGAGGGACTAATCACTGAACGTGTTTATCTGTAGAGGGACTGATCACTGAGAGCGTGTCGTGTTTATCTGTAGAGGAAATGAGCGTGTTTACCTGTAGAGGGACTGATCACTGAGAGCGTGTTTACCTGTAGAGGGTCTGATCACTGGGTGTGTTTAACTGTGCAGGGACAGATCACCGAACATGTCTACCTGCAGAGGGACTGATCACTGAGCGTGTTTACCTGTAGAGGGACTGATCATGCCTACCAGGCGCGGATCCAGGGGGGGGGGCGACGGGGGCGGCCGCCCCCCCCCCCCGCCATCCGAAAAAGGCGCCCATATCCCGCGGCAGAGAGGGCGCCCCGAGCATAAGAGCGGCGACACAGCAAAGGTTCAGCAGAAATAGGGCGCCTCCAGCAGAAGTTGGGCTCACCAAGCAGGAGAGTGACGCCCAATTGCCTATTCCCAGCAGATGAGAGTCGCCCCAGCAGCAGATGGGCGCCCCCAGCAGAAGAGGGCGTCTCGTTACAAGAATATAAAATACCTTCTGTTCAAGAGGGGCGCCCCTGGCAGCGGAAGGGCACCCTTAGCAGGAGACGTGTCCCCCTGAAGAGGAGCGACGCCCCAGCAAAAGGAGAGAGGCGCCCCCATTCCGAGAAGAGGGGCGCCCTGACAGCAGCTGGGCGCCCCAGCAAAAAAGGAGCCCCAAATAAGAAAATGGGTGCCACTGGCAGAAGAGGGGCGCCCAAGCAGAAGAGAGGGGTCTCCAGCAGGAGACGGGCGCCCCAAGCAGAAGAGGGGCGCCCCAGCAGAAGAGAGGCGCCACAGCAAAAGTTAATCAGAAATAGGGAGCCTCCAGCAGAGGTTGGGCCCGCCAAACAGGATATGGGCGCCCCATTGACAATATCCGGCAGAAGACAGACGCCCCAGCAGCAGATGGGCGCCCCCGGTAGAAGAGGGGCGCCCCATTACAAAAAGAAAAGGAGTATATTCTACCTGCAAGAGGGGCGCCCATGAGACAGCGGAAGGGCAACCCCAGCAGAGGGGCGGTGCCCCATTAAAAGGAGAGATGTGCCCCGTTCCGAGCAGCACAGGGTCGCCTCGCCCCAGAAAAAAAAAAACAGGAGCCCATAAGAAGAAAAGGGGTGCCTCTGGCAGAAGAGAGACGTTCCCCGCAGTGGAAGGGCGCCCCCACAAGAGTGGCGTCTCCAGCAAAAGAGAAGTGCCCCCTGCAAGAGAGGGGCACCCCACCAAAAGTTGGGCAGAAGTGGGGCGCCTCCAGCAGAATTTGGGGTCGCCCAACAGGAGAGGGCCGCCCTATTCACAGAAGAAAAAAGACTCCTCAGCAGCAAAGGGGCGCCCTAACAGAAAAGGTGCACTCATAGCAGAAGTGGGACGCATCAGGAAGAAGAGGGGCACTTCTAGCAGAAGATGGGCGTCCCAGATAAGTGGGCCGCCTACAGCAAATTGGTCGTTCTTAGAAGGAAGAAATGAGGCGACTTAAGCAAAGTGGATCTCTCCATAATGGATTAGGCGATCCAAGCAGAGGTTGGGCGCCCCCGGGAAGTGAGGCATACCAGCATAAGTGAGACGCTTCCAGAACAAGGAGGGGGCATCACCGGGAGAAAGACTGCACCAGTAAATGGAGGCCACCTTTTTGCTAATATCTTTGGCTATGGTAGCGGTGCCCATCTACGACTTTTAACCCGTGCCGTGCTGGTGGTCTGAGTTATCCGTGTCCTGCTGGGGAGGGAGGGGGGGGGGGGCACACTCCCTCGTCTAACTCGGCTCCTGGGCCGCGTAGTGACACGCGATAAGCGGCATTCGAAAGATCGTCAAAAACAGCCCAGGACGAAAACAAAACGGTCATTTTTTGGTCAGGTCGAATGTCAGGTCACCAGAGGTCATCAAAGGTAAAATGTTGCCTGTTTCAACAATTTTCCGTTTTCGTAGCAGCGGCACATAACTCGGAAACCAATAGAGCTATAGCGCCGCAGAAAAGCGCATTCGATAGCCCTTTTAAAAGTGTTTCTGCAAGCTGCGCTCAGATTTGACCTCAGGTCAGCGGTTTAGCCTTCAGAGGGCAAAAGACTCTAAAAATAGCCTTTTTAAGAACAATGTTTTCCTGCACTAACTTTTGACTCAAGAGAGTCTCGACATTACGTTTGCCAGCATTGCGTTTCTGTCGTCGAGACACGTCGACCAAACTAAAGGTTGACCTTATGAAAGGTAATTTTGAGAATTTGACCTCAGGTCAAGGTCATGATCTGACCGGGAAAGGTCATGCTGCATAGCAGTCGATGCGTATCGTCGAGCTGAACACAGCTGAGGTGTTTTTATCGCTCTAGCTTGAATCTATCAAAAGTTATTTTAAAAAAAACTGCTGCGGACCTTTCATGACATGGGATGACCTCTGGGACATAATGATTTGAATGGTCACACTAGGTGCAATGTTCTTATTCAGTGTGTTAATTTTTTATGTATCCAAATGCTTGATATTGTCTAAAATGGCACTCGTCCAAAAGACATGCCTTTCAGTTTACTCCCAAAGACTTAATTATACCTACCTACCTAATGGGGACGTCGCACAACTGACCTGACCTTAGGTCACAGATATCGAAATTCCGAGATATACATTTCATGAGTAGTGTTGCTTTCATCAATCGCGGAAAGGTTCAAAGCAATCGTTCAGTCGGTATAGCAATGGTAAGCATTTAAACTTTTTCTTAGGCTAGGTCACTTGGCATAACCTGGTGACCTGACCTTCCATCACCCGCGTCAGACATTTTTACATCATGTGCAAAAAAGATGCATGATAAGGTATAAGCTGAAAATGGCGGCGCTGCGCGCAGCCGTCTTTCAAATATTTTGCGAAAAAACCTGAGGGGGAGCGCGATAACGCCCCCTAGCACGGCGCGGGCTTTTAGCTCCCGATTTTGACGGTTTGGCGCCCCCTTTGTATGGAGCGCCCCCGGATTGCCAGGTCGCCCCTATTTCGACTTGCCGCCCCCCCTCCCGAAAATTCCTGGATCCGCCCCTGATGCCTACATGTAGAGGGACTGATTAATTCACTGCACGTGTTTACCTGTAGAGGGGACTGAGCTGCTCGCGATTGGCCAGGTCCTTCATGACGTTGAACAGCCACTCCCTCATCCTGCGTGGGAAGTCTGCCATCTCCTCCTCAGAGCACTCCTGCGGCAATGGAGGACAACTGGAGTTGGCCAACTTCTAATGAGTGTTACGTCGTGGTTTGGCCGGAATCTTCTAGTCCCCCATATCGCGGCACTGTCCGAATACTGAGACCAGTGGCAGTTCTCATCTCCACATCCCGTCCCCCACTGCGACCGATGGCAGTTATCGCCCCATATCGCGGCACTGTCCGTACTGAGACCAGTGGCGGTTCTCACCCCCATATCCCGTCCCTATTGAGACCGATGGCGGTTCTTACCCCCATATCGCGACACTGTCCGTACTGAGACCAGTGGCGGTTCTCACTCCCCATATCCCGTTCCTACTGGGACCAGTGGTTGTTCTTACCCCCATATGGCGGCACTGTACACTGAGACCAGTGGAGGTTCTCACCCCATATCGTGGCACTATCCGCACCGAGACCAGTGGCAGTTCTCACTCCCCATATCCCGTTCCCTACTGAAACCAGTGGCTGTTCTCACCCCCATATCCCGTCCCTACTGAGACCGATGGCGGTTCTTACCCCCATATCGCGGCACTGTCCGTAGTACTCCACGTGCAGGTGCGTGTTCTTGGGATCCTGGCAGCCGTCCAGCTCGTCCGTACATTCGCAGCGCTGCTTGTACACTGCACAGTCGCTGTTCCACGTCTCGTTGTGATTGGTGCACACCTGCCGACGGACGAGAATGGCAGCCCCTGATTGGTGGATCATTCACGAGGTATGCATTAGGCGCGCCTAAGTGAACATGATTTCCGATTAATACACTGTTGAGTCAAGGAACTATCAAGAGCAGATGCTCACTTTTCTTCCGTTCCGTTGCGTTCAAACCATGAAATTCTCCGAATTCTTCGCATACAAACAAAAAACAAAATCGATTGTATACACTAAGAACTAGGCTACGATTCAGATGGTGAAATGACGGAAGCGAAATTTGAAAAATGTGTGGAACACGTACACAAATCTAAAGCGTAGGTTCTAAGTATAGGTACCTAACACTTTCTAAGACCGTCCTGTTCTGCACTACATAACACATTTGACCGAGCAGTCCCTCTTTCATCCGGCCTCACCTGACGCCTGGCGTCCGTCTCGTGCGTGCACTGGGAGGCGCACGTGCAGACCGGCTCACCGGCTTCACTCAGAGTACACTCGCGGCCCTTGCCGCACTTCTTGGTCTCACACGGGTCTGAAAAAGACGCGTTGGTGATCGAAATGGGGGAAATGGTTACACAATACACATGCCATATCTGCGAGTTAAGCATACCTTCGTTATCGAAGGAGGTAAAATGCATAAAACAGCTGTCTTCAACCATGCTTTTAAGCGTACCTTCGTTATCGAAGGAGGTAAAATGTATAAAACAGCTGTCTTAAACCATGCTTTCCGTTCTTAAATTGCAACCTAAATCACCAGAATTGTTGAATAACTATATGATATATCGTGTTTCTCCGTCAAAAAATATCCCAATGATTTTATCGATCGATGGTATGGATTTGACACTAAACCAAAATGCGCTATCATGTATAATATCCACCCAAACAGCGATAGTTACCAAACCGATAGTTACCATGATCGAGATTGTTGCGTCGGATGATGGCGTCAATCCCCGTCATCTCCTCCTCCTCTTCCTCTTGCTCTGCCTCCTCTTCCTCCGCCAGAAGGGCGGCATCATCATCCATCATCATATCCAGCTCATCTTCAATGGTGTCATCAACTGCTCGGACAGTGGAAACAAATGTAGTAAAATGATGCTACATACAGAGGCGGTGGGAAGGGAAACACGGAAGAGTTAAATAATAGATGAATTATGATTCAATCTAGCAAAGAATAAGCAGAATGCTATTAGGATCCCGATAGTATGCTTTTTGTGGACTCGTATGTTTTGCCGGTATTTTTTGGTCATATTCCACAAGCCTGCTCCAACGTACCTACTCCTAATGCAGTGACAGCCCCCATGAGAAGTTGTTCGACTTACCAGGAACCTCGGTGGTGGTGGTGGTGGTCGTTGTCTTCGCCTTGTTCCTGTTCCTCCTCCGTCCCTGGTTGGGGAGATGAGAAACACAAGGGAAGGTATCACTACAGCTGCAGTATCTAGTAAGCAATTTACATTAGCCGTTTTCACGACGGACTATCCGGCGAGTGCACCTAATTTGACCAAATCTGCACCTAAAATCTTTTACAACAAATATATTTATTTTATGCACTAATGTCAGTGTTTTAATCGATGATATTTCCTGATAATATGACAAAGCACTAAAGCAGGCATATAAGCAATTAGTGCAACCCTAGCTGATAGCTACTAAGAGACACACTGAACCTAATTTGACCAAATCTGCACCTAATCTGCACCAAATGTGCACCAGATGTGTACCAGATGGCCGTCGTGAAAACGGCTATTGTAAACGATGCTACGGTAACTAGTCATAGCATATAAAAGGTCAAAAACATTAGCGAACTACCTAATGTTCGAGCATTGTGAAAGGTAAAGAAAAGAAGAACGAAAAGATCGATATAGGTAGCTGTGAAGCGATGAGATGGACCAACGAGTATCAAGCCAAGAAGATGCAAAATGACCTAGGCGGAGTAGAGACAAAGAGTTTCAGGTTTCTCCATATTCAGTTATGTAGCCTAACGAATTCCAATCTAGGTTTTGTCTGGTGTCTAAAATCGCTACAGAATCGCGGTTCTCACCTTTCTGCGTCGCTTGGCGTCAGCTAGATCCGTGACCAGTAGGACGACCAGCAGCAGCAGGAGGCACAGGCGCAGCTTCATCGTGATAGCTGAAACAAACAGAAAGACACAGCGTCAATGTCATTGTCATTGTCATTAAAACGACCCGCGATACGAAAAGACACAGTCGCAGCTTCATCCTTACAGCTGGAACAGACAGACAAGCGTCAGTCACAGTGTCAAGTGTCATCCAAACTACCAGCAGCATAGGAAAGGACACGGGCGCTTCATTCCTTACAGCTAAAGGAAACACACAGTGTCAGTGAAATCGCTGTGTTCCTAATCGCTGTTGCCTCATCCTAAGGGACGAGGCAACGAAAAACGAATAACGCAGGCGCACCACACTACTGCGCCAGTCGCGCAGCTGCGCGACTGGCGCAAAATGACAAAAACTCCAAGCGCCCTTCCTGTGACGAATGTCGACCACTTGCGGACCGCACGTGCGTCCCGTTTCAGTCGTGTCCTCGAGGAGGGGGAGGGTGTCCAGGCCTGCAGTGGCACAGCGGCACAAAAACAGGGACAGAGCGGCCCAGCTGGTCCGTGCTCCTCTGCTCTCTCCATCTGGCCTCCGGTCCTCTGTCCCACTCTGTTGATTTTCCGGTTGTAGCAACTCCGCTTTGCGTCCGAGTTTATGCATGCAGGATGTGTGAGTGTGCGCTATCGCCTATGAACCTCCATTCGCCCTCCCCGTCTTTATCTCTCCACCTTTCCCTCTCTCTCTCTCTCTCTCTCTCTCTCTCTCTCTCTCTCTCTCTCTCTCTCTCTCTCTCTCTCTCTCTCTCTCTCTCTCTCTCTCGCTCTCCCTCCCTCCCCTCTCCCAGATGCCAGTCACGACACAACTTCCGTCTCTGCAGTCGCGTTCAGGGCAGCGGAGAGGACACGAAAATAAACCAGAACGATGTCACCCTCACCCTCCTCCCACCCCCACCTCCCCACATCCCACGCGCGGCTTCCCTGCACGTGTGTACTGTGTATGTACAGTGGATCTAGTAAGGATCTCCAGACGCAACTAGATGGCGTTGAGCCTTAGTCGAGTCCATGTGATATTCAAGGAGAGGTCACTACCGAGCTGGGCCCGATGGGGAGGTGGGCGGGGGGGGGGGGGGTGGCGAGGTCACGGTGCGGGTGACCTGTCAAACAGCCCCGGCGCGGTGGGGGCTGTTTGCCCCGGCGCCGCAGGCAAATGGCGCACTCCAGCGTTGTTCCATATCGCGGTGGTGAGCCGGGCGGCCGGTTAGCTTGGCAGTTGGCTGCTTGGAAGGAAAGTATAATGAGGCATGGGTTTGCTGTGGCCGGCTCATCTACTGTCAACTATGGTGAACCCAAAGTAATGCAAATGTGACGTTGGTAATGCAGCTGGCAATGGAATGCTAGCGAATGCCCCGGGCGCCCAGTAGCTATAAGGATTAAGATTAATTATGTCTCCTGAAATTTTCATCGAATATAATTCAAGCAATAGAAAGATCGCATCGTTCGCCAGCTTTTTTTTCTTGACTCACTGACTTCGCCTGGCAGCGGCCTGCCACCAACCACAACCATACCCGTCAGGAGCCGCTCAAAAACGTCAAGCACACGCCGCGTTTCGAACCCGGACTTTTGCAACCGGGACGTGCGCTCTCACCACATGGCACATGGAGTCCGACGCTCTACCGACCGAGCTACCGGGACGGACATTTACTTTGGGGTTTCGCCTCGTGACATTGACAGACGTCAGACACTCTGGCCGAACTTTAGCCGAAACACTGAGCAAGCTGCGCACTGCGCAGGCCGCTAGGTGCTCGTAGCGTTGAGGTTGGGTAACCTGTGAGCTGAATGCGATGTTGTGAGTTCGAGCCCCACTCCCGGGTCTGGTTTTATCTAGACACGAACCAAAACATTTCCTTCTACTGCAGCACAGATAAGCACGATGACATCTTTCTCCAATATCTTTCCCCAACATCCTCTCCAAAAGTCAAAATTATCGCTAATAAATGTTTAGCTAAGTTTCATTAAAAAAAAAAATTGGTCATTTGTCTGGAGCCATTTCAACCCTTTTTTCTTTTCTGCTTCTTTTCGACCCGATAAAACCCACTAAAACTGAACGTGCCAAATGAAAAATATCAAACTCAAATAACATTTTAGAAAAGCCTCATCATGCATCATGAAAAGCATAATGCAGCTGACTGAATAGTTGCATGCTATGAATACGTCCTAGATTTCAATTATCATTGTTCAACATTTCGGCTGGAACTGACGCTGCCTCTGGCTTGCCAGTTTGTTTGAGATAATGATTCCCTTCAGTCGCATCCTTGCCGGTTCCACATGAACAGGATACCACCATACCGGAGTGAACGCACCCGCAACCATCATCCCCCTCCCCTCAGCCTTGGCGCGGTGGCGGGCGGCCCTGGGCGGCCCACTCCCGGCGCTACGCACGCCCCATGCGCCGTGATACCGCGTCACTCCCCCTCCCTCCTTCCCCCACAATGACCGATGACCTCACTTCCCTCGGGATTTGGACTCGCCCTACCCCGACCGTAGCGCCACGTGGTGGCTCTGGAGATCTTAAATAGACCCACTGTACATACAGCGGGGAATATGCGAGCGGTCTGCCAGACATCGTAGACTGTTTGGTGCGTTGTGGAGCGGAAAACAGGACGCAGACACTAGGATATACGGCACCGGCTTTTGTTGCTGCTGAGACTGCGAGTGAATGTAAACAGGGCATTCGCTAGACTTGTATGTAGACTTTTCAGGGGAACATGTAATGTAAAGACAAGTTAGATAGAGTACAAGTAACGATTAACTAGATCATCTTATAAGACCACGTAGCATCAATCAGAAATTAGAAAAGCCGTCATAATGCTAACGAAAGTACTAGAAGATACAAAATGTCTACCCGGCAGTTTTTGGTCACATCCCAAAGGTCTTCTCCAAAGCCTACTCCTAATGCAGCGACACCCGATGACCGACCAAGATCACCTGATCCTGATCCTTGATCCTGACACGGGCGATGGGATCCGGGAGTCCCATATGCGGTTCGATACCCCACACCGGCGCCGGAACATCAGCCGTGGTCTACCGGCTCTCTGTTGTATGCTGAGCTGGCAGGCGTCTCCTTCAGTAACCATTCAACTGAGCGACAGTGGGATCTCAGCCATTCGGGCACATTTGTCGGGCGTTGTAACGTTCTTTGTAGCAATGTCGGACGTTTATTTCGTGTTCTGGGCTGGGACATGAGCTAAAAGAGGCATAAATAGATGATTCTAATGAACTACGGAAAAACTTCAGATGTGTGAGTGTCTAGTCCAACAAACATTGATTTTAAGAGCTTTCTGCCACAAACTTATTGGCAAAATATAACATTTATGCTCCGGCTCCGTCAGTGGAGGTCGGATGGGACGAGCTAAGACGCTAGGGGCGGGGAGGGAGAGGCAGGGGTCGAGCCTCCGCAGCTGCAGGGCTGAGGTCACCTCTGAGGGGAAGGGGAGGGAGGGGAGGGGGCGCTGAGGTCATGTTGCAGACTAGATGAAGCGCTGCGGCGCGGCGGGGGCGGGGAGGGCGGGGGCGGGGGTGGAGACGGAGGCGGGGGCGGCGGGGGCGGCGGCATCAGTTGTCAGGCGGCCCACTGCGGTGAGGTCGATGGTTTTTGTAGCCAAGAAGGCAGCAGTAAACAGCTCAGTATAGTGCTGCTAGCAGAGAATGGCTGTGTTTGAACGTGTCCGTGTGCTCAGTACGTGACCATGTCGGTGAACTGTGCGGCAGGGGGTGTCAAAAGGACGTATAGTGACTTTTTACTGCCTCCCATGAAACTGTGCATATCATGATAGTCCCGGGACCAGTGCACAACAATGAAGAAAAAGTAACTATACATATAAATGACGCTTTTTAGTCTCTTGCAATATAAGCTGATGATTGACGCAGCACGAAGTAAAAATACAAGACATCAAACGACACATCGATGAAGTATTTGACGCTTTTTCATTTTTGGCCCACCTCGAGATAAAACCAGGTCCGACGAAGGCTGAGGCCACGTGCGCTCAAGTACGCTATCGATAGTTAAACAGACGAGCCATGAGAGACATAGGTCTGCGCTTCTAGGTTATCAGCAAATCCTATTTGATTATCAGCAAATCCTATTTGATTCTAAGGCTAGGGACTATCTTCTCTACTTTCAATATTCGCCTGAGCTTGGCACACGCGCTATTTGCACAACTAATTTTGAAAGTTTAAAACATTTTAATAAGCTAACTGAGCTATTTTTTGTTGCTGAAATTTTTAACCCGCGCCGTGCTGGTGGCCTGAACTTTCCGCCGAGTGCTGGGGGGGGCGTTTTCAAGCCCCCCCCCCCCGTCTAACTCGGCTCCTGGGCCACGTAGCGACACGCGGTAAGCGGCAATCGAAAGAGTGTCAAAAATAAGGACGAAAACACTTCGGTCATTTTTTGGGTCAGGTCAAAGGTCAGGTCACCAGAGGTCACCAAAGGTAAAATGTTGACTATTTCAACATTTTGGAAACTGCCAACGGCTATCTCGGGAACCGATAGAGCTACAGCGCCGCGGAAAAGCGCATTCGATAGCCCTTTTACAGACCTTTCTGAGTAATGTTCTCAGATTTGACCTCAGGTCAACGGTTTAGCCTCCAGAGGGCAAAAACTCCAAAAATAGCCGTTTTTACGAAAAACGTTTTTTCGTCAATAACTTTTGACTCATAAGCGCCATGACATTACTTTTGCCAGCATCGTGTTCCTCTCGTCGAGACGCGTCGAATGAACTATTTGTTGACCTTGAAAGGTCATTTTGAAAATTTGACCTCAGGTCAAGGTCATGACCTGACCGAAAAGGGTCATGTTGCATATCAGTCGATCCGTATCGTCGAGCTGAACACATCTGACGTGTTTTCACCGCTCTAGCACGTCTCTATCAAAAGTTATAGCCAAAAAACTGCTGGCGACCGTTCATGACCTGAGATGACCTCAGGGGCACACAGAGGGGTCACAGGTGCATTTTTCCTATTCAGTGTGTCATGTTTACCTATGAACCGATGTTTGAGAGCGTTTTGAACGATATTC